CCTACCATGCACGAGCCTCGATCTGCACCCCAAAAAGAAAAAAACTCCAAGCGCAAACCTCAACGTTAAGCCATGAAGGGAACCCTCTGCCCAAAGCTGAATGCAAACCAAAGGTAGCCAAGCACACCCTTTCCGTCTTCGTCCTTACACACTTCGGGGCCGCGGCCCACTTACCGTCGAAGACACTAGCTTCGGAGATGTCCCTGACAGCGGCGGCCTCGACGATGTTCCGAATGACGAACTTCTTAATGGCCTTGTCTTTGGGCACGCACCGGGCGCAGTTCGTGCAGCGAATCGGCTGCACATGGCCGCGGCCCTTTTTGGCCCGACCGTTGTTTCTTCTTTTCTTGGTCTGAACGTGAGAAAAGACACGCTGTTCAAGAAGGGGTGCGACTCACGCGGCTTCGGCCCTTTCCGGCCAGTCACCGCCCGCAGCCCTGAGAGGGCGAGCCACACAGGTCCCAGGCACTCCAAACCCGGGCTTAGAGGGGACACCTGGCCACTCCCTCCTCCGAGCCTCCGGCTCTCCAGTCCCTGCAACCCGAGACCCTACTTTCCACCCAGGGCTCAGCCGCGCGCTCTCTCCACGCGGCGATACTCACCATCCTGGAGCCAAGACCCGAAAGAGGATCCGGCCCCTCGCCGGCCCCTCTTATATAGTCCGAGATTCCTACGCTCACGCGGGGGGGTGGGGCCGGGGGGGTAGAATCTTAGAGATGTGTAATTCTAATTACTCTTAGCAACTACTGTACTCAAAATTACCTAATTATTTAGCGTTTCCGATGAAACGTAGGGTTAGAATAAGTCCCTACAAATTATCTGTGGAGCAAAGTACCAACGGGACTATTTAATCGGCTGGCGGAAGACTAAAATGTTATACGTTTACGAACCAGGAAGTAATTCAAGGCACTATAACATCCGGTTTACGTTGTCTCCAGAGCGGAAATTATCCGGAATTCGGTGTCGGGGCGCTCACTCCCCGTTCCGAGAGGCCTAAAGAGATGCATTGTGGGAGTTGTAGTATGAATCCGAGCGGACTCTGGCCCGGAGTGGACAGACTAAAGGCGGCGCTACACCACCGTGAGACGCCATGACTTCATTTCTTTGAAATTGGATTCTAGGCGGAGGAGTAAAAAAATAGAAGACCCAGGAGGAAATAAACCATTTTGTAAATTAATCCTTCCAAATAAAAGGCTCAAGCCGGGCGGTGGTGGTGCATGCCTTTAATCCCAGCACCCGGGAGGCAGAGGCAGGCGGATCTCTGTGAGTTCGAGGCCAGCCTGGGCTACCGAGTGAGTTCCAGGATAATCATAGCTACACAGTGAGACCCTGTCTCGAAAAAACCAACCAACCAAATAAAAGCTTCAAAAGAGGGCTGGAGAGATGGCTCAGCGGTTAAGAGCACTGGCTACTCTTCCAGAGTGACCCGGGTTCAGTTCCCAGCACCCACATGACAGCTCACAACGGTCTGTAACTCCTGTTCCAGGAGATCCAACACCCTCACACAGACACCGATGCAGGCGAAACACCAACGTAAATAAATTACAAATTAAAAAAAGAGAAAAAAGATTCAAATGAGACAAATTTTTCTTTTTTGGATGGGACTATTTATTTGTTTTGAACCACCTTTATTTGTTTATTTATTTATTTATTTACTTACTTATCTATCTATCTATCTATTTATTTATTTATTTATTTGAGACAGGGTTTCTTTTTCTTTTTTTTTTTTTTTTTTTTTTGGTTTTTCGAGACAGGGTTTCTCTGTGTAGCTTTGCGCCTTTCCTGGAACTCACTTAGTAGCCCAGGCTGGCCTCGAACTCAAAGAGATCCGCCTGGCTCTGCCTCCCGAGTGCTGGGATTAAAGGCGTGTGCCACCACCGCCCGGCGTGAGACAGGGTTTCTTATGTGTAGTCCTGGTTGTCCCGGAACTCGCTCTGTAGACCAGGCTGGATTCGAACTCGGATTGCCTGCCTCTGTCTCTAGGATTAAAGTGCTGGGAGTGTTGAGATCAAAGATGTATGACACTATACCTGGGTTGAATTCCCTTTTTATTCCTATCAGCACAGAGGAGGCACTGTAGTTATTACCTTGTATGTACCCATTCGATTTAACTGAGCAAGTCTATCAGATACACACAGTTATTCTCACTTTATTTTGAAACATAGTCACTTAGTCCAGACTGGTCTTGAACTCATTTTGTAGCCAAGTGTGACCTGCCATCAAACAGACAAACGAAAACCAAAATCATGAACTTTGCAGGGAAACAGATGGACCTATTGAATGAGATAGACCATATTTAATCCTAGAAAAGACCACAGTGAATGAGATAGCCCAGACTCAGAAAGTTCACCCACATAGAAAGTTCCTAGCTCCAAGTCTTCAGGTGTGAGTACATATCCTAGAGCAACTGCAGAAATCAGGAAAGTAAAACAGAACCACCGCCAGGATACAGGGACTGGGGGGCAGTAGAGAGGGGAGTAGCAGAGTACAAGTGATCTGATCAAGGAAATGGAAAAGGGGGGGTCTTCTTAGGGAGGAGGAGGGAGGTAAATACAGGAAAAAAAGGGGGAGGAGGTAAAGGAGACTAGAGAGGAGAAATGGGAAGGGGGAGGGAGGTAAATACAGAAGAGGGAAGTGGATAAAATAATAAGGAGGCTGGAGGTTCAGCCCAACCTCTGGCTCAGAGGTTAAGAGCACTGACTGCTCCTCCAGAGGTCCTGAGTTCAATTCCCAGCCACCACATGGTGGTTTACACGCATCTATAGTGGGATCTGATGCTCTCTCCTGGCATAAAGGTGTACATGCAGATAGAGCACTCATATATAGATATAAAATAAATAAATCTAAAAAAATAACAATAAGGATTTCTGAAAAAGCCATAGAAATCATACTATTAACTATCTACCCCAAACCCTATAATACACATAACTCCCTGATAAGATAAAAGGGAGATTACTGAATCTACTTTTAAAAAAAGGAACTTTTTTTTTTCCAAGACAGGGTTTCTCTGTGTAGCTTTGCGCCTTTCCTGGAACTCGCTTTGGAGACCAGGCTGGCCTTGAACTCACAGAGATCCGCCTGCCTCTGCCTCCCGAGTGCTGGGGTTAAAGGTGTGCGCCACCACCGCCCAGCTGGAACTACTTGTTTTAAAAAGGATAAGTAATAAAAATTTTTTGTCTGAATTTGTCAAATGTTAATGGACTGAACATTGTTAATATATATAATGGAGTTTTCTGTCTGAATCTGTCAAATGTTAATGGACTAGACATTGTTAATGTAATTCTTGATTGTATATATTATATATACTTATTGGATATAGTTTTTCTTGTATTAGTTATAAGCTTTTTTATTTTAGACAAAAAAGGGGAAATGTGGTTATATTGTGTCCCCCAATATATTGTGTACCCTAATAAACTTATCTGGGGTCAGAGAACAGAACAGCCACTAGACAGACATAGAGGCCAGAAAATGGTGGCACTCACACCTTTAATCCTAACATTCTGGAGGCAAAAATCCATCTGGAGCTCTGTGAGTTCAAAGCCACACTGGAAACAGCCAGGCATGGTGACACACACCTTTAATCCCAGGGAGTGATGACAGCAGGCAGAAAGGTATATAAGGTGTGAGGACCAGGAACTAGAGCCTGGCTAAGCTTTTAGGCTTTTAGCAGCAGTTCAGCTGAGATCCATTCGGATGAGGACTCAGAGGTTTCCAGTCTGAGGAATCAGGATCAGCTGAGGAATTGGCGAGGTGAGGTGCCTGTGGCTTGTTCTGTCTCTCTGATCTTTCAGCATTCACCCCAATACCTGGCTCCAGGTTTGTTTTTATTAATAAGACCTTCTAACAATTTGTGCTACAACTCCCTGTATAAATTTACACATATATTTTTCTTTTTTAATGAATCTTCTCATCAGGGATGATGGTGCTCCCTCCAAGATCACCTAAAAAAATCCCCAACACCAAACATTATCAAAAAGAGAACACCTCTTTTGAACTGTTGGTAAGAGACTCCTGTCCAAGGGACCCCCCCCCCAAACATACGGCCTGTTTCCATTGCCCTTGGTTACCCCTCTGAAGACAGCATGCACTTCAGAAACAGGGCCCAGAGACCCCTGAGTTGAAACTGACCTGAATGCTTCCTCCCAGAGGACCACCTTTCGTGGTACCAGGAGACACCGTTCAAGCTTCCGAAGGAGGGAGTCAACAGACAGGCCTACCAAGCTATGATGCCTATGAACCACATCAAAAGCTAGGTGCAAGAGAGGTGCTCCCCAGGGAAGAGCACACCAGTTGGTTATCCAGTGCCAATGGTCAGCACTGAAACATACACACATGTAGCATTATACAGACTGACCAGGCTCTATCTAGGAATATATATGTATATATGTGTGTGTATATATGTGTGTGTGTGTGTGTGTGTGTGTGTGTGTGTGCGCGCATGCAAAAATGATAAGGGGAAAAAAGGAGACCCTGAATTGGGAAGAAACTGGGGAGGATTTGAAGGAAAGACAGGGAAGGGAGAAATGTTGTAATCAAATTATAATCTAAAAAAATAGGCCGGGCGGGTGGTGGCGCACGCCTTTAATCCCAGCACTTAGGAGGCAGAGCCAGGCGGATCTCTGTGAGTTCGAGGCCAGCCTGGTCTCCAAAGCGAGTTCCAGGAAAGGCGCAAAGCTACACAGAGAAACCCTGTCTCGAAAAACAAAACAAAACAAAACAAAACAAACAAACAAAAAAATACAGGCCAGTCATGGTAGCCCACACTTTTAATCCCAGAATTTGGGAAGCAGAGGTAGACAGATCTCTGTGAGTTCCAGGCCAGCCAGGCTACATACACCCTGTCTCAAAAACAATCTGCTCTGCTAGACCAGCAACTTCAGTGGTCTTGTCTGGGTCCCCCTCAAGCTTAGACTCGTCTACATCGTGAAGGGAGAAATGGTGGTATGAAGTCTGCCTCTCTCCCCGGAAGGAAAACAAAGGGAGTCTCCAAGAACAAACAGTGCTGTTAAATTACTCATGTTTATTTATAACAGACCTTCAGCCAGTACAGTACAAAACTTACAGTAGTATTTCTCCATTACACAAATATTTACTTACAGTATATTACAGATACAAAATGCTTTGCAGTAAGTCTCAAAAGCTGGTTTAACTCCCTTTGAGAAAGGAGAAAAACTCTTTAGAAAGAGGGAAGGGGGGGTAGGCAAGGGACCAGAGGATGAGAGAAGAGGTGAAAGGGCAAGGGTCAAAGGGGACACGAAACAGGCTACAAAGGAACCCTGGGGGAGGGGAGGTGGTATTGCACTTGCTTCTGTGTCTATGTTTGATCTTCATAATTTCTGGTTAAAAATATATATATATATATATTATTTACACAAGGAAAGAAGCTGCCAGAAGTATTACAAAATTCCACAGCCCGGACACTGACACACACACACACACACACACAAAGGTCTGGAAAAGTGTCTATTTAGAAATTCTCTCCCTTCCCCCAACTTTTCTGTATTGTTATTTTTGAATAGTAATAAAAAAGAAAACACCTCTTTTCTCTGTGTGGGTTTTGGTGTTTTGTTGTTGTTGATTTTTCTTCTTTTTCTTTTTTTTTTTTTTTTTTTTTATGCAAAAGGAGCTGGGAGAGAGCATGAGGATGTTTGAGGTTCCAGAGCTGGGAGGCTCTGAAAAGTAGGATTTTTGTACCTAAGACCCTGGTTAAAGTGCAGTGACGGGCGGGAGAGAGACAGGATGCCCCCTCCTCCCTAGCACCTGGTCTTGTCCTTCCATCTCTGCTCTTGTGGGAGCCTCGGAGCATAATCCTTCAGGTTTCTGGGGGGTTACAGGTGCTAAGGCTGACTAAAGGGAGGGAGGGATGGAGCACTGAGAGGCTCTGATGCCTCAGAGGAACTAGTCCTTCTGAGGTATCCCCAAATCCATGGCAGACACAGGAGAGGTGGGAGCCGGTCTAACCGGAAGAGGCTCCAAGGCCAGAATAGTTCAGAAGTGCGGACACCAACCACAGCTCTGCTGCCATCCCAGGAGTTAGTGACAAGGTTCTGCTGCGGGGACCCACCCTTCCCTTCTCTGGGGACCACTCCCTCTGGAGCTCATACCCCATTTTCTGCCTTTGGCAGCACCTGCTTATTGCTACATTGTCAAGGAGGAAGAACCACCCCGCAAAGCTCCTCCCTGTCAATCCGGCCCTTCTGGGAAGCCACGTAACGCAGGAGAAGGAAGAGAAGACAGTGTTTTCAAGCCCGCCCTTCTCATGATAGGGAAAGCAGACTCTCCAGAAGGCTTAACAGCCCCATTCCCAGGATCTGATGTAGCCCACCCCTTCGTGCCCCTCAATATCCCTACTAGGGAGAGAGAGAAGCAGAGGGAGGCGGAGGAGCCAGCGAAGAAAGGACACGTGGGAAGGAAGATGGAGGGAAAGGAGGAGAGAAGACCGAGACTTATAACTTATGAGGTGCTGTGTTTGGTTTTTACTCTTTTTTTTTTTTTCTTATTTTCTTTAAACATAGAAAAACAGCCTTTGGTTTGAATCTCAAAGAAGCAGAGAGTGGGATGGCTGTGGCCTTGGCAGGGAACTCTATAGAGAGAGACCTCCACGTGCGGTGGAGCTATGCCTTCTCCTGCACGGTCTCACGAACCCTCAATTATCCAGATAGCCAGGGTCCCTGCAACCACCAGAGAAGAGTGCCCCTCCTGCCCTGTGTCGGGAGCCGAGTATGGAAGGGCAGTGAAGGATGACGCCCGGTTAGTTGCGTCCATCCCATTCTTGCTGGAACAAGGGTGGAATGGTCGGCGGGCACATACGTGTCATTCATCCTGGGACAATTTTTGGTTATACTGAAAATTAGCAGAGAGAAAAGAGACATTCCTTTCTCCCTGCCACTGATAACAACAGGGCCCAGGAGCCTGGGAATGAGACGGTGAATCCTGCTAGAAGGGAGAGGAAAAAGGCAGCGTGACTGATGGGGCTGAGAGACCCCCGGTTGTTGGGCGGCAACCCACCAGTTTCTCATAAAATGGGGACAGAAGGAGTCCCTGAGAGCCTAGGAAGGTCACTGGAGTGAAAAAGTTTGAAAGGTGGAGGAGAGACTTCTACCCACCCCCTTTCCCGCGCCCTGGTTCTCAGCTAGGCACCTGCAGCGCGCGGTCTGTCGGACAGGGTTGCAGGGCCTGGCTTTAGCCCCTGAGAATGTAAGATGGGGGCACTGCAAGGAGAGAAAAGCCACCACTGAGGGGAGTGGCAGGTTGAGACCAGAGTGGTGTTGAGGGGTGAGCCGGGGAGAGGGAGGAGCGGTATCACATCCTGGAGGGAGGCCCTGAATGGAGGCTTTAGGGAGCTCGTGTTCCCAGGTGAGGTCAAGAGGACCCTCAGTCCACAGTTCCTGGGGAGAGTTTCTACAGCCCCTCCTACTTCCAGTGAGGAAATTCTTCATTCATTTAAGAATATAGTGCAAGCTGCCTGGAGTGAGAGGGGTACCAGAGGTATGAAGTACCAGGTAGAAGGGTCCCAGAGAGGAGATAATAATGCCACGGAGCTAAGGTGGGGCCACTGGGAGGTATCAACATCGAAAGTGAAGAGTCGGATAAATAAGGGTCAGGATTAAAGCAAGAAGCTCCCTGTCTCTAAGTACAAAGAGGAGCTTCCAACCCCTGGGGCTGTTGGAGGAGGTGGGAATCCATAAGGGGGAAAAAAAAATCTAGGCTTAGAGCAGACGGGAGCCACGGGCAGGAGAGTGAAGGAGCGGCCAGAGACTGTGGTACATTTAAAAAGGTCGAGGAAAAGTCGTTAATAAACAGCAAAAATGCCGGGGAGAGAGAGGAGTTCAGGAGGAGAAATATAAGCAAAAAGACTCGTCTGTCACAATGCTTACATCAGCCAGGGGAGAAGGGAATAGGCAAAGAGGGTCTGAGTCAAGTGTGAAGTGAGGTGGTCAGTGGATGCAGAACTCCTTGGGTGTAACAGGAATTGGGCTAGACACCTGTAGGTGGGACAGTGGAGCGGTGGGCTGAGGACAGGCCCGGGGGAAGAGGTCGCTAGCCCACCTTATGTTCCCCCCGGACAATGTGGGAAGAGAACTCATACCGGTCCTGGCTGTGATAACCACAGATGTTACACTCGAAAGGGTCTCTGAAGCCGTGGCAGCCCATGTGGATGGTGAACATGACATGGTCCAGGAAGAGGATGCGGCAGTGTTCACACTTAAAGGCCTTCACGGGCTCGCCACTCTCACCCACCCACCCGAAGCACTTCCTTGGAGGGGCCTGGGGTGCCCCGCAATAACCCCTCCTGCGGTTTGGGGTCCTCTTTGGCATAGGCGGGACTGTGCCGGCCCACCACTATGGTGGGAGGAGGTTGAGGTGGGGGACCCTGAGGGAGGGACACCACCCCGCCAATCCGATCTTCATGGTTGCTCTCTGTATCTGTGGAATCCTGGCAACCATTGCTGGGGGATGCCCCAGGGTCAGTCAGAGAGCCTCGGGCCCGATAGAGAAGGGGACCTCCATCTCCCAGGTCCTCAGGTCCCTCACCTGCTTCTCGGGACCCCCGGAAGCTCCAGTCGGCTGGGGAGGGGCTGCATCTGGGTGTACACAGAGCTGATGACAGGTGTGAGTTCCGAGATGCAGTTGGTCGGGGGGAGGCGGAGGGGACGCAGATGCTCTGTACCCACAAAGGCTAGAGAACCTCCAAAACCAGGCTCTAGGCCGTGGTGCGCCACCAACTCCACATCCTTTTCATAGCCACCGCCGGGGTTCACATCATAGGGGAGGTCGGAGAGGCTGAAGCGCATCTGCTTTTCGCCTGTGGAGAGTAAGATCTCATCGGGACTGGGTTTGAAGAATCCCTAAGTCATGCCCAGAATTGCCCAGGGGCCTACATATAACAGCATCATTATTATCATTATTAATTAGCTTTGGGGACCCAACCCTGGGCTTCACACATGCTAAGCACATCTTCTACCATTGAGCTATACCCACAGTCCCAGGTAACATCATTTAATACACCCCATTTACTCCCCAGAGGGTCAGGTTGAAGGAAAGCTGTAGTCTTGGGGCAAGGCATTTCTTTGAAGTTTCATCCTCATTATTCTCTATAAAGTTTCAGATCCTCAGTGAGATAATGCCATTTTCAGGTCAGGGAACCACATGCTCACTTCCTCTCACTGACTCTAAGACCAGCCCGCACAGACTAATCCTTGTTATTTTTCAAAAGATGGAAAAGCTCAAACCCCCGATGAGTCCTCAGTACTGACCACTCTCTACTCTGTCTTTTATGTATGTTCTGTGTGTGTGCATGGTGTGCATATTCATCTCTGTGCTGGTGCACGTGTATGTATGTGTACATACATGCGGAGGTCAGAGGACAACCTTTGGTGTCATCCTCAGGAGTACCATCCACATCCTTTGAAACAGGATCTGTCATTGGCCTGGAGCTCACCAATTAGGCTAGCCGGCCTGGCCAGTGACCCTAGGGCATCCCTCTGTCTCTGCCTCCCAGGGCTAGAGTTACAAGCACATGCCACTATGCCCAGCTGGCATTCTTGGGTAGGTTCTGGGGATAAAGACTCCAGTTCTCATACTTGCAAGGCAAGCGTTTTAGAGACTGAGCTACATCCCCCAAGTCTCTAGAAGTATGTCGTCCCTCTCCATCCACACAGGGACATTCTGAGCACCATGGAGACCGCTAGGCTGCTTTCCCCCAAAAAATCAAATCACCAGACCCAAGCCTCTGGTCTAATGTCAATCAGAGCTGTGAGTTATTGGAGCTATGGCGTAAAGCTGCGGTCTTCTCTCCAACAGGACTCTTCTTACCTACAAACTTCTGGGGGGTGGAACGCTTGCGTTTGGTGAGGCTGTTGGCCAAGCGATCAATGAATGTTGGCCGCTCGGAGGAGGAGTGCAGCATTGAGTCAGGCACCATCTCCAGGTCTCGCATTTCATCACCTGTGGGAGGGGCAGGTGGGAGCGGCTGAGTATGAGTGACAGTGGTCCAGCAGCCTTTGCCTACAGAAAGCCGGCCAGTCAGTAGTCAATGAAGGTTATACCTGGGAAACGGGGCTGACTTTCTTTCTTTCTTTTTTAAATTTTTAGTTTTTGACATAGGATTTCTCTGTGAAACAGTCCTGGCTGTCCTGGATCTCGCTCTGTAGCCCAGGCTGGCCTCAAACTCACAGAGATCCACCTGGCTCTGCCTCCCGAGTGCTGGGATTAAAGGTGCGCGCCACCACCGCCCGGCTGTACTTTTTGTTTTGTTTTGTCTTTTTGTTTTTTTTTGTTGTTGTTGTTGTTTTTTGTTTTTCGAGACAGGGTTTCTCTGTGTACCTTTGCGCCTTTTCCTGGAACTCACTTGGTAGCCCAGGCTGGCCTCGAACCCACAGAGATCCGCCTGGCTCTGCCTCCCGAGTGCTGGGATTAAAGGCGTGCGCCACCACCGCCCAGCGTCTTTTTGTTTTTAAACAGGATCTCACTGTGCAGCCCTGGTTGGCCTTGGACTCACAGAGATCCACCTGCCTCTGTGTTCTAAGCACTGGAATTAAAGGCGTGGGTCACTGTGGGCTCTTTACCCTACCTAAAGCTCATTCTAGTAACATCTAGTAACACTTCAGACCATTTGAGGACAGTTATATACACCGACCCCTTGATCCTCTGTCCTTTGTGTTTTCTCTCCCATTAGACTGAAGGTACGGGTCCAGATTTCCTCTGTTTGGATCTCCCTGTAGACCTGCCCCAGAGCTGTGCTGGACATTCGCGGGGATGCTTACGAACGAACGGGTGCTTGGAAGGTTTACTGAGTGTGTAACCTGTGTTCGCTGGGGTGCTAGAATCACCCTGGCCTGAACTCTTGGCTCTGCCCTCAGCTCCCCTGTGGCGCTATCCACTGCCCCACCTGGCTGCCCAGCCAGAGCCTGGGCTTCGGTGCTGAGGCTCTGTAGGTAGTTGTGGCATCGTTCCTTGTGCTCCTCCAAGGTGCTTTGCTGCTTGTAGCTCCGGCCGCAGTAGTTGCACTTGTAGGGTTTGCCCACGGTGGGAGAGGAGACTGGGGGAGAGAGCAGAGGCAGTGTGAGAGTAACCAACTGCGCCCCGTACCTGGCTCTGAAGCCGCACGCAGGAGCCTGCAGAGGAAAGAACGCTGTCAACTTCGGGGTGGGGGGTGGGGTGGGGGCGGGGCTTGCCATCCCTTCCCCAGCCCCACCTACAACAAAGAACAGGTGAACCAAACTTGGGGGAGAGTTGACGCTGTCGCCAAGGGAGGGGGCCCCCTGGCACATCGCTGCACACTGGATTCTAGGTGCTCCAGCTGCTTCTGAAAGGAAGTGACGACCAGGGGACTTAGTAGGGGATCCTCCCTGGTAAGCAAGCACAGCAGGCCCCACCCCAGGATCTCGGGGTCTGGGGCTCAGGCTGCGGTTTAACCTTTCCATGTGGCAGGCGGGTGTAATACTGTTTATCAGACAAGGGGACTTTTTGGCTGCAAGCACCCTGCTCTGGCCTGGAGGGAAATTGGTGGGCTGAGGCCGCAGAGCAGTGAGAGCCTTCAGATCTGCCCATCGCGGGAGGGGCCCGCAGTGGTTGGCCTTTACTTGTATTTTTTTTTTTTTTAACCTCTAGCCCTTGTCTGGTTTTACTGATCATCGTCTTTTTCTGTCACTGTGCGGAGTTACCAAGAGAGCCCCAGAGAGCCCAGCGCTGACGGAAAGAGAGGCAAAGAGCAAAGGAACAGGAGATGAAGAAGAGCAAGAGGAAGAGAACAACTGGGTTCTTACTTTTTGTTTTAAAAAGAATGTGTTATAAAGCTCTGAAGGGAAGAAAATGGGAAAACAAAGGCTGGTAGACTGGTAGCTTAGTTTAAACACAACTCTTGGGAGGCGATTTTTTTTTTTTTTTTTTTTTTTTTTGAGAGGAGAGGGAAAACAAAAACCTGAAGAGGAGCACGGTACTGTATGTTTTGTGTTTATTGCTACCGAGCAAGGAGGCAGGAGAAGGCATTTGCTAGGGAATTAGTGATGTTATTCACACACACACACACACACACACACACACACACACACACACACACACCGGCGTAGTCTACGCTTGGCTATGACTAAATCAACCTTTGCCACACTGCCCTTCATCTGTCAGCAAAGTGCTTAAGGGATGAAATGAGTGGCCCTCTCCACCCACGACCCTCTGGGAAACAGTTTAACACGGCAGGAGAGGAACCCGTCCTCTAACCTTGTCTCTTACAGTGTGATCTGTAACAGAAAGCATCTCACAGAGATGGGACCTGCACGTGTGTCTGCTTTCCCCCTTAGTCTCCTAAACAACATTCGAAATCTAGTCAATCGACCTTGTCAAGAATTTGGGGGCATAGTAGTGCATATGTTCCCCCCCACCCCGCCCCCCTTGAGACAGGGTTTCCCTGTGTCGTTTTAGAGCCTCTCCTGGAACTCGCTCTGTAGACCAAGCTGGCCTTGAACTCACAGAGATCTGCCTCCTGAGTGCTAGGACTAAAGGCGTGTGCCGCCGCCGCCGCCACCTGGCTAATAGTGCATATTTTTAATCCCAGCACTTGGGAGGCAGATGTAATTGGATCTCTGTGAGTTTGAAGCCAGCCTGGTCTACATGGCAAGTTCTAGGCTAGCCAGAGGTAAATAGTTTGACCCTGAGAAAAAGGAGCATATGTTTTGGCCATGGGACCTTGATGGGAGCAGGCTAGGCTGTAGCCCACAACATTCATTTCCTTCCCCATAGCATCAGTTTCCTTGTTAAACAAGTTGGGGTGGGGGGCTTTAGGGCAGGGGCTGAAGCTCAGTTGTTAGTGTGCTTGCCTAGCATGTGGGAAGTCTTAGGTCCCATCTGCACAGGCTCGTAAGCAGGAGTGGTGGTATACCCCTGCAATCCCAGCACTCAGCAGGCAGAAGGCAGGAAGATCAGCATCAGAAAGTGAATGTCATCCTTGGCTATACAGGGAGTTTGAGGTCAGCTTGGGCTACATGAGACCCCGTCTCAATAAGTGGAGTGCCGGGGGTGGGGCATTTTCATCCGGAATTTTTTTTTTCTTACTCCCCTGCCTGCGTCTGAAATTCTTATGATGGTCACATAAGGAGATACAAGACAAATTCTCTGCAGATTACAGAGTATAAGTTAGTGATAATCACTATACCTCTTCCTCTACACACAGAGAGACAAAGAGGTCCCCGTTACGTGGGAGAATCTGGAACAAGGCAGGATGGAGGAGGCGGAAGTTGCTGTAATGCCTCTCTGTCCCCTTACGTCCTACCCAGGAGGGTTTAGAAAAACAGAGAAGCCCAGGGAAGATTCTGAGGTCAGACACGACAATTCTCTCCCCTCTTTCCTCTCCTCAACCCTCAGTTGCCCTCTCCTTGTCAGCTCAATCCAGCCAAGAGGCCAACACTTAGTAAAACACCTAGGAAGCATTATTTCTCCAGTTCCTTCCAACCAATACTGACTCCAAGTCTTTTATTTACTTTGTTATTTTTGAGACAGGGTCTCACAGAGCCCAACCTGGTTGAAAACCTGACCTTCCTGCCCCCACCTCTCCAGTACCTGGGTTCTCTCTGGATTTGCTTTGTCTGTGAGGAAAAAAAAATCACCATTTCTTGGGATGCAGAGCAGAAATGGGATGATGGTCTTTTCCTATGTGGAGGTCTAGTTCCCCTCCTTCCAGCTTGGGAGGCCTGTAGATATTTACAGGAACCACTAGGAAGTAGAGGGTGCAGTGATTGTCCGAGACCTCGGTAGTTTGGGAGTCAGAGTGGGATAAAGATGGTGCCAGGTGCCGGGCGGTGATGGCACATGCCTTTAAATCCCAGCACTCGGGAGGCAGAGCCAGGCGGATCTCTGTGAGTTCGAGGCCAGCCTGGGCTACAGAGTGAGTTCCAGGACAGGCTCCAAAACTACACAGGGAAACCCTGTCTCGAAACAAAACAAAAACAAAAGACGGTGACAAAATACGGTGACAGGTGTAGTTTTCCTGGTGCAAATGAGAGGGGGAAGAAGTCCCCTCCCCCTCCCACAGGGCTCAGAGTCCCGGGTGATGGGACACATATGGTGTTGGCATCATTAAAACGTTTAGAAAACAAACATAAGGACAAGCCAGGAATGTTAACCATGTTCCTTTTGCTTCATGTCACAGAATGTGGCAGTAAAATACCCCAGTAAAGAGTCCCACAAATTCCTCACAGATCTTGCTGCCACGAGTCAGCAAGGCAGGGAGGACTCTATCTGCTCCGTGAATGCTCCGTGAGTGCTCCCACTCCTCCTCAGTGACAGACACCACCCCCCCTCCAATGCAGAGAAGTCCTGAAGCTCTTTTCTGAGCAGGCTGGGTGTCACCCTCTTTGCTGGTTCTGGATAGTCACTGACCTGAGTGTGTGCGGAGGTGGCCTGTGAGCGCGTCACGCCGGCGGCAGGCGTAGTTGCAGAAGGGGACATTTGAAGGGCTTCCTCCCCGGAGTGCAGCTTGATGTGGCGCAACAGATTCCCCTTCTGCGTGAAGGAGGCGCCGCACTGATTGCAGTGGAAGGGTCTTTCCCCTGCAGGTGAGAGAGCAGGTTCCAGAAGACTGGCATGAGGGTGCTGGAGGGTGGAGGGAAGGTTCTCTGAGCGCACTCTGAGGGCGTCACCTGGGGGGCCCCCCCTTACCCTGGGAAGCTGTGGATTAGAGGTGTGTGACTTGCAACCAGTACTGTACCTAGAAGACCTGCCAAAAGACTACTACCCAAAATAGTGAAGCCTTTAACTAATTATTCTTTATCAATAAAAGATCGGGAGTCAGATATTGGTAGGAGGTGACTGGTGGCTTCTACAAAGCTTCTCTGATCATTCAGGTTCTTACCCTAATATCTGACTCCCGATCTTTTATTGATAAAGAATAATTAGGTAAACGCTTCAGCTCAGAGTCTGAGGAGGGTAAGCAGAGGTTCCCCCCTCCCACACCTCCTTTTAAATTATGAGATGAGAAGGCCCAGGAACTCTGTCCCTCTTGGAATGACTATAGGCAGCTCTCCCTCTGACATCTGCAAACATTTTTTGGTGTTGAGATCCACCACAAGGCCTTACACATGCACACATCCCCACCACTAATCTATACCGAAGTTTCAAGAATCCTTCTAGAGGCCCCCAGGACCCATTCTCTCTACACTCTGAGAAAAGGAGTAGCAGCTTCTCCTTGTCACAACAGCTGGAGAAAAGGGTCGGGATGGTTACAGATGTTCCGAGGGGCTCATACCCCTTTCTCTCTTTCGTCATCTAGAGAACGTGCTCGGATCCGCCCTTCCCTTTCTGAACCACCCCTGCCTGCAGTGGGTGTCCTCAGCCTCTTCCCCCGCCAGTGTCCTAGCACACCCCTGCTTCGCGCCAGCCTCGCCCAGAGCTCTTACTCACCCGTGTGGCTGCGCTTGTGTACCATGAGCACGTTGGGGCCGATACAGACCATGCCGCAGACGTCACACTTGAGCTTGCCATTGGGTAGCCGGATGCCGCCAGGGGAGTGAGGCTCTGGCCCGCTTCCATCGCAGTAGCCCAAGGGCTCTGACAAGGAGTCCTCCACGATGACGCTGTCATCTTTGTCCAGGAGCCGTTCGTCTGTCCCCAGCAGTCGGCTCGACTCCTCATCGCTGTACATCTCCACCTTGATGGAGTTGGCTGGGGGTCAGGGGACTGGTGTTTAGAATAGAGACAGGCAAAGGGGCAACCACTCCCCGGGCAGAACGACACTTCTAGAGTCCAACAGGGCGACTGCAAACCTTGAGGTATACAAATGTCAGGAGGGGCAATAGCCTATTTATGATCTTCGGGGTCGTTCCAGAACTCATCTGAACTGAAAGCAGTCTTTCCCACCTACCACCCCACCAGGCAAATAGGGTTTAGAAGAAGAAGAAGAAGAAAAAAAAAAGGAAATGCACCAGGATGTCTTCTGTTCGCTGGCAGAAGAGGTGACTTAGAGGACCCTTTGCCTGCACTCTCCTGCACCTCATTAAGAAAGGTGTTTGGTTGGGCAGTGGTGACGCACGCCTTTGATCCTGGCACTCGGGAGGCAGAGCCAGAAGGATCTGTGGAAGTTTAAGGCCAGCCTGGTCTATAGAGTGAGTTCCAGGTCAGCCAAGGCTACACAGCAAGACCCTGTCTAAAAAAGAAAAACGAAAAAGAAAGAAAAGAAAAGAGGAAGAAAGACACATAGACTGATGTCTGAGTTGGCCTCAGGCAGGAAGCCAGCAAGTAACAGTGGCGGGAAAACCGTCCTGGGGAGACTGAAGGGGATGGCAGGCTAAAGGTGGAGTGGGCCTGGAAGACAGGTATGGTTTATTCTCCCCTAAGGGACTGAACCCCTACGCCTCTTCCAAGGAACCTGAGGGGGACACAGGGGAGGAGCTCTGGCACTAGCTCTGACCTACATTCCTGGCTATTTCAACCATTTAGAGAATGTCACAGATCTAGGGCCAGCTGGGGAGGGGTATGGGGGGGGGGGAATCCTGCCAGGCAGGCGAAGTGGGATGGGAGGTGGTGAGTCTTGTTACTGTTCATTTTCTGCCTCTCCCTACCCAATGACCACTTCTGTCTCCAACTCCAGAATTTTTCTTTGGAACCTTTATGCCCCCCTGGTCCCCTCTCCACACATACACACAACAGGGTCTCTCTGTGCAGCCCTGGCTGTCCTGGAACTAGCTTTGCAGACCAGGCTGGCCTTGAACTCAGATCCACCCGCCTCTGCCTCCCGAGTGCTGGGACTAAAGGCGTGTGCCACCATGCCCTGCTGGGACCTTTATCTTAATGTCACCCATACACCTTTTCATTCTACCCCAGTCTGGCATTAGCTATTTACTGTTTTCAAAAGCTAGGAGAGCAGTGTGTGTTTGGCTCCTTCCCACTTCAGAGTTTCTGAGCAGGAAACCAGAAGGAGAAGATGGGGAAACGGTGGCCAGGAGAAGGCAAACGGAGGGCCAAACAAAGATGGTGCTGCCTAGTGCCGGGAGTGGGGCAGAGGGTCACACTTACCACTAAGTGAGCGGCTGGGTGAGGAGTGCTGGCTGTTTGGGGTGCTCACCGAGGGCCCCACTGGGGCCCCGAGGAACTCCTTCTCCAGAGATGAGTCCCCGCTACCTTGGAGGAGAGAACAGACGGCAGGTGAAGCTGGGCTGGAGCCTCTGCAGTCTGCTGCCTAATCTTGTTTAAAAAAAGACTTCAGTTAAATTTCCCAAGCCCTTTTCCTACAGCCGTGTACAAGGTAGGTTGAATGTGAGTACCCTACCTTGTGAGCCCAGGGGCCTGGTGCCCAGTGCTGACCTTGACTTCCGTGAACTCAGTAGCTGAGTCTGGCCTACCCTACCTTTATCTACGGCTGAGGGGAAGAGCGGCACCCACTCTAACTCTGCAGGAAGCAGGGCCAGGGCTGGGCGGGCCAGGTAGAAGAGAGGACAGGGACCTGACGAGAGGTGGAACAGGCATTCTTTCGTACTGCTCTCTCTGGAGCTCCCAGTAGTCCCAGCTTTGGAGTCTGCAGGGAGGGCATCTGGAACTGTCCAGAACCTGATGATAATATCCGTTAACAACGATGATAGCCGCTAATATTTAGTGAGTGTGTACTCGTACACACTGTCTTCTTGAAGCTCTGCAACCACCTCATGAAGTAGGTGCTGCAATGTTACTTTAATTTTTTGAATTAGGAGACACAGAAGAAGTTTGTGTCACGTGTCTAAGCCGGCAGTGGCTGAGCTGGGGTAGGACCACAGAGGAGATAATGCTGAGTCCTTGACCACTGCTTGGCCAGTTACTGTCTCGGTGGGGGTGAGCTCATGAAGCTCTCTAAATTCAGCCAAACTTTGAAGGCTCTAGAGAGCTTTCTCGTTGACCCGATCGAACAGTTACTATTTGATGTTATCTCGAGAGCTAAATATCAATGATTCTAAATGCATCCATTTCAACTTGTTGACCAAATACTTTTTAAAAATGCCTTTTGAAATTATGTTTTTTAAAAAATCTGATAACATACATGAAAAACACGAGTGTCTTCAAAAATCTCCCCCTCCCCACAATTTTCTGCATAAATAAATATATGAATGAAATAAAAACACATGTAGATAAACACACAAACACAGATTACATACGTAGATACATGTAAAAAGAACATACCTACTGGGGTAAACATCACATCCGTCTATATTATCTGCTAACATGAACATGCATGGGTATATGCACATAAGGCCTAAACATGGAAGAGAGAGAGAGAAGAGAGAGAGAGAGAGACCCTAAAATTCATCCCTAGAGTTCACCTTGGTTAATACTTTACCCAGTTCCCAGCTATGCACATACTTACTTTCACAAAATAAAGATTCCATTATAAAATGGTTGGAGTCCTGGGCCTGAGGCAAGAAATCCGGAACACACCCTCCTGAGGGATCCCTCTCCAGCTTTGGTCAGTGGGAAGAAAACAACCACTCAGGACTTTGGGACCATTTCCCGTTCACATCCTCTCCTAAAGTCCCATTTCCCCATTCTATCCCATGGAAGCCTGAGGAGCCCTGTTCACCAGCTATAGAAAAAGCCTTTTGGCTTGAATCCGATTTCCCCCAGCTGAGGCTCTTTAGATGAGTCGTGGTTTTCTTATAAAAGTTGCCTCAAGATGCAAACCATGATGTGAGCAGTCCCCGAACCGTGAAGACTTGTAGATTCAGGTCCAGTTTTAACACATGCCCTTTCAACTGAGTTTACTGAGGCTAGAAGTTTGGACAGGCCGAAGAAGGCTAAGTAAACCCAACGGTCCTCCTGCCTCAGCCTCGGAAGCACTGGGGTGACAGGCATGCGCCACACCCAGCTTCTTACTCCTTCTCAAAGGTTAGTGCTGACTTGCTCCAAATCACTCAATGTTGGTAAGGAGGGACCTGCTAAAGCCTTGATCCTAAAATGATGAGGAGCTTCTTGGAAGTCCATACTTGGTCCCAGCCTCCTGGAGCTGGGGCTGCCTCTGAGACTAGGGGCTATCTGGCGGGACAATATTCTTACAGGGGTACTTCGGAACATTGAGGGGAAAGCATTCTTTGTGACTCTCCCAATGAAGGGCTGGAAACAGGAGAGAAAGCGGGAGCCTGGAGGAGCACCAGTAATCCCAGAGGCTCCTCGACGCTGTCATCCCTAGGATAAAGGTAGGAGGAAAACAGACTCCAGTCTACTTTCCTGGCACTAAAATCTAAGGAGGAATCTGTGTCAAAGGCCAGAAGGTCTTTTTGTGGGGCTCCAGGGATTTAGATTTCTAGCCCGAGGCTGACAGGGACAAAAGTCAGATTTGGGGAACTCATCAGTTCCCCTCTAGGCCCCAGAAACCCCAGTGAGGGAATTTCAAATGCCCGGGACTTCCAAGAAATCTCAGACTGTCAAAGCCAAGAATTAAGGCTGCTCTCAGGTATCAGAGACATTTTCTTGGTCAAAGCCATCATGGATTGGCTGAACCCCCAGGGAGTAAAGCTAAATCCTGAGGTTCACATCAGAGCAACCAGGAGGTGGAGAAAGGGCAGAAAAGCTGGAGGGAAGGGATGGGAGGCAGTGCCAGCCTTTCCCACACTGACGGAGACCAGCCCTCTCCTGCATCCCTTGAGTGGTTGGTCGCCTCTGGGGGATAACCTGGAGCTCGGCAAGCCTCTGCACCTCTCTGCCAGGGACCTCATCCTGCTGCTTTCTCTTCTTGGACCATGGGCTCCAGGTGGCAGGATGCTAGCCAGCCTGCTATCAGGGACCAGTGAGTGCACGAGCCAAGAAAGACAGCTATCGCCCGCCCGCCCGCCGGCTCTATTGTGGGCAGGAGGCTGAGGCCACTCACACCTCTGCTCCGGGATGAAGCATCTGCTGTCAAAACTCCTCTCCCTCACCTCAGGTCTTTCCACTAGCCATTCCCACCCAGGCCTGTTTCGGCATTCCTCCCTCTGTCCCCAAGGCCTAATCAAGATGTCACCACCAGCTCCCACTGTCCAAGTCACCGTCGTCTTCGCTTAGCAACACCAAACACCCTTTCCCATCCTCCCCAAGTGCGGGGAGGAACGCCCCCTCCCCCGCTGCACACACACAGCCCCCATCCTTTCCCTCTCCGCAGGCTTGGGAGTTGTTACTGAATTGGCTCCCTAGCCCCATCACCCCCCCTCCCCCGCTCCGCTAGCCGCCTTCTGCCTGAACTTACATTATCCTTCCCTTGCCGGTGAGACCCTGGGGTGCGAACGCGGCCGCCGCCTTGGAAACGGCGCGGGAGTGCGGGTGGTGTGTGCATGTCTGCGTCTCGGTGGCAGGCAGGGGTGAGCCCAGCCACTCACCTTCCAGGAAGCGTGGATTCCTGGAAGTGAGGGGAACCGCCGTCATTTCGCAGGCAGGGGCAGCCGCACGGTGAGCAGGGGCCCGCGGCTGCAGGCGGCAGGACCGCTCAGCCCAGGGTGTGTGCGTGTGTGCGTGCGTGTGTGTGTGTGTGTGTGTGTGTGTGTGTGTGTGTGTGTGTGTGTGTAGTGGGGAGAGAGAGAGAGGTGTGGATGTGCTTGGGGAGGGGGCAGGAGAAAATGTACAAGTGTGTGTGTGGTGGTGCGGGTGGGTGGGGGGATGCTAGGCTACCGCATCCCTCTTCCAAGACAGTGGCGGGGTGGGAGCGGGAGGCACACAGGGAGGGGAGGCAGATGTGTTTGCCCTCCTGCCCAGCAGACAAAGAGGAACCGCACAACAAATGCTTGAGAGGGAGGCAAGTGTGTGTGTGTGTGTGTGTGTGTGTGTGTGTGTGTGTGTGTGTGTGTGAGAGAGAGAGAGAGAGAGAGAGAGAGAGAGAGAGAGAGAGAGAGATACACACACACACACACACATACACACACGCACACACACGGGGGGGGGGGGAGAGAGAGAGAGAGAGAGAGAGAGAGAGAGAGAGAGAGAGAGAGAGAGAGAGAGAGAGAGGAGCAGGCTTGTGGGGAGAAGGGAGGGGGGTATCCCAGGGAAGGCCCAATCCTCTGCCAGCTAGAGAAGCCAAGGCCCCAGAGGTCATGGGGCCCAGGACACAGGGGCAGCCTCCAGGCTCTAAAGTGGCAGGAAGCTCCTCCCCCAGCAAACTCAGTCCCTTGTCCATCTCCCCTCCTCCCACAACCCCCTTTCCCCGCCGCGGGAAGAGGGATCTCAGCATCGCAGTCCAGCCTGACAAGGGGAGATCTGTGACCCTGAGCCCTCTCAGATCGCTGGTTCGGTCTCCCTGTCGGCTCCCTCCTGCGCCCCTGGGGCTCCCGCCGCTGGAGTCCTGGATGAGTCTGTCCTCCATCAGGATAAGAGGCCCCTGCTCCCTTCCAGAGAAACTGCTCACTCCTGAGCTGACCTACTTCGCAAGACTGGGTTTTCTGATTCCAAGAATTTGGGGGTGGGAGGGGCCGAGAAACTTTGGGTTGCCAATCGGAGCATCCTTCTCTCCTCAGGTTCTCTCAGAAACCTTTCACAGCACCAAGACACTCGGGACAAGCAGTGGCCCCTCAGCTGCTTGCCGGGTTTGGGCAACTCAGTTTCTGTTTTTGGTGTATGTGGGGGTCGGGTGGGAATCTGTGTGGTAAATCTTGCTTCCCTCCCCTTCTCCCCGTGGGAATTATCTGTATCTCTAAAATGGACGTGGGGAGGGGGCTTTCGGCGGGTTCTGGGAGGTGGTAAAACCCCTTGGAAGAACAGGAGAATGCCACCTTTTCAGGGTGGCCAGTAAGGAAGACCATCTACTCTCATCTCTTCAGGCAGAGAGCTATCTATGATGACCCAAGAAAGGGTTGTTAAAGGGTAGACACTGGGCTGACCCTCTGTTTCTGGATCAGTCTAGGAGAGGGTGGGGGGGTCAGTAACTGGTTCTTAGACACCTCAGTTGCGCCGTCTTGGCCCTGTCTAGCCCCGAGGGGGCACTCTTTTTTTTTTTTCTTTTTCCTCCGGTTTTTCGAGACAGGGTTTCTCTGTGTAGCTTTGGTGCCTTTCCTGGAACTCGCTCTGTAGACCAGGCTGGCCTTGAACTCACAGAGATCCGCCTGCCTCTGCCTCCCGAGTGCTGGGATTAAAGGCGTGCGCCACCACTACGTGGTCTAGCTGAAGGGGATACTCTTTAGACCTAATGTCAGCCCTGCCCTGACTTTGTCTTTCGGAAGGTAGCTGCTGACATCTAGAGTTCTCAAATCACAGGCACAGTGTGGGCTTCTCTTCTTACTCAGAAACCATCTGTGCAGAGGCCACTTCTCATCTAGGCGACGTCAACCCGCCTTAAGGAAGTAAAGCTTGGCTTCAGAGCACAGTGAAGCCAATGGCCTCAGGAATTTTCTGCTTAGTGTTCAACGTTCTCCAGAGAGACTACCGAAAAGAGCCCATGGGACATTTCCCCAGCCTCCTTCACAGCGTCTCATTTGCCTACCTTACGGCAGGAATTGGATTTTATCCATCTGACAGTAACCACTCCTCGCTAACTGGGTTCTCCGTGTCCTCATTGCTCAATAGTGAATAGACTTGACTGAACCCGAGGTGGGAGAATTGGCTGGTTCCTCAGAAGGGCCTCTTTCCATTGAATCGGCCCACCTGAAGTGTGTCATTCTGTCCAGCATGCGGCAAGCATTGCATACCTGTGCCTAACCTAATTCCTCCAGTCAGTATCTTTCTGTGTATCACCCAGACGAGGACCGTGATTCTCAGGTGTGCCTGACCGACTTCGATATCTCCATCAGAGCGTGCCAATAATCCCTTCATTGGTTCCACTTTAAAGAAAATTAATAAAGCACCTCATAGCTCATTTCCACGATGGCACTTGGACTTGTTTTATTGAGATGGGTTCTTAATATGCAGTGCAAGCTAGCCCTGAGCTCATAACCCTCCTGCTTCCGTCTCCTGGGTGCTGGATTACGGCCACCATAGTCCGTACTGTGTTTTCTTGTTGTTGCTTTGAGGTGAGGTATTGTGATACCTCCTTGGCTGGCCTAAAGCTGCCTCTGAGACCAAGCTGGCCTTGAACTTATAGAGATCTGTCTGCTTCTGCTCTACCTTGCAAGGACCAGCAATTTTATTTTTAGCTTGAGTTAGGATCTTGCTGTATAATTTAGGATGGTTTAGAACTCATGATCTTGCTTTAGCCTCCTAAGTACTAGGAGGCTAAATTATAGCGGTGTGATACTATACCTGTTTCTTTGATCCTGACATTCTGATAGTAATATATATATATGTGTGTGTGTGTGTGTGTGTGTGTGTGTATGTATGTGTGTGTGTATATATATATATATATACTGTAAACCCAGTGTACATTATATATATTCTTTTTTTTTTTTTTTTTGGCTTTTTCGAGACAGGGTTTCTCTGTGTAGCTTTGCGCCTTTCCTGGAACTCACTCTGTAGCCCAGGCTGGCCTCGAACTCACAGAGATCCACCTGGCTCTGCCTCCCGAGTGCTGGGATTAAAGGCGTGCGCCATCACCGCCTAGCTATATATATATATATATTCTTAAAGACTAACTTTTGAGGGGGCTGGAGAGATGGCTCAGCAGTTAAGAACACTTGGTGTTCTTGCAGAGGACCCAGGTTCAGTTCCCGGCACCCACGTGGTGGCTCACAACCTTCTGTAACTCCAGTCCCAGGGGATCAGATGCCTTCTTCTGTCCTCTTGGGGTACCCACATACACAGTAGATAGACATGCATACACATAAATTAATAATAATAGTAATAATAAAAAGGCTAACTTTGAGCCAGACTGGAAGCACACATCTATAATCTCAGCACTGGGGAGGTGCAGGGAGGGGCACCAGGAGTTTAAGTCTAGCCTTGGCTACAAGGCAAGTGCAAGGCCAGCCCAGGCTACAACAGACTCTACTCAGAAAATTAGCTGGATAAAGCTCCTTATTTCCCGTGCTGGGATTACAGGTATGCACCGGAGTGCTTGGTTTATGCAGCTCAAACCCACAGCCTGCTGCATGCATGCATGCTAGGCAAGCAGCCTCCCCCCCCCCCCCCCCCCCCCCCCCCGCTGCACCTCAGTCCTCCCCTCTCCTTGTTTCTCTTTAACTCATTAAAACTGATTGTTCTGATACTTCTAAAATCCACTCTCGCAATAGGTAATGATGTCTTCTCCCTCTGTAAGAATATTTAGCAGGTATGAACAGTCTGTAGCATGCTATGCTTGTGGAAAGGGACTGAGGAGAATGAGAATTGGGTCCTCTGTCCCTGTCTTCAAAAGATGTTAACCATAGGCCTCCTGGCTGAATTCAGACCGTATCAATGATTATCATTATTTTGTTTTGTTTTGTTTTGAGACAGGGCTTCTCTGTGTAGCCCTGGCTACCCTGGAACTCTCTCTGTAGACCAGGCTGGCCTTGAACTCACAGAGATCCACCTGTCTCAGCCTCCCAAATGCTGACCATACACAAACTTGAGTTTACTCATGGAGCACTTTTAAAAATATTGAGTCATTCCTTTACTTATTTTAAAATTTTTTGATTTCTTTTTAAAATTATTTATTTATTTATTACGTTACTTTTCGCAGTAGTAGGGGTTGAGACAGGATCTTACTATGTAGCTGGCCTGGAATCCACTGTGTAGACCAAGCTGGCTTCAGATTCACAGAAATCTGTCTGCCTGTGCCTTCTAAATGTTGGTATTAAAAATGTGAGCTATCCACTGGGCAGTGGTGGTGCACACCTTTAATCCCAGCACTTGGGAGGCAGAGCCAGGCGGATCTCTGTGAGTTCGAAGCCAGCCTGGTCTACAGAGTGAAATCCAGGACAGGCACAAAACTACACAGAGAAACCCTGTCTCGAAAAATAAAAACAAACAAACAAAAAAAAAGTGTTCTACAGTTTGTGAGAGTCCCCACTGTTCCAGCCCACTTTAAAGTTTTTGAAGACGGTCCACTCTACTTGGGTGGGACAGAACTCTGTTCTGGTGACCTTATAACACATGAAAAAGAACCACATTCTCCTCCCATCTGCTTGCTTCGGGTCATCCATTTCATAACATCCACTCTTACTCCCTCCCCTCTCCACAGCCTGGAAAGAACCACCATCAGGAATGGAAGACCACAGGGAATGCATACTACCTCCAAGCACTACCACACTGAGTGGCAGCTGTGACTGACATTTAGTCAAGTAGAAGTCGGGTGCCAGGGCTGAAGGCTCTCTGCCTTCATCCACAGTGTCTGCTCCCACGCCCGTCTGAATGGGACATACAGAAGGCATACCAGACATATAGGAGCGGCCATTGCAGTCTTCTATGTCCATCTTAGAGAGATCCTGTTGAAAGAGAAGAGACTGCTATTAGGAGCCATGGCTGGGGAGGGGGGAGGTGGGTTTGTTTGTTTTTATTTTTGTTTTCTTTTACATTATAGAGTAAACAAGAAATCTAAAGGGTCAGAACAAAAACTTTTTTTTGGGGGGGGGGTCCTGGGAAATAGACAATGTATCCTGATGTATAAATGCAGAGGTTTCCTTCAATCTACCTTTTATTTATTTGTTTACTGAGACACACATCCCTGGCTGACCTGGAAATCACTGTATGAGTGCCTGTCTCGTCAGTTCTTTAGGACTCCAACTTCTGAGATAGACACACTCACACTCCTTTACCAGAGTGGTTCTGGATTTTGAGTTGTAGCTGATGTAGCAGACAGGTTACACTTCTGTCCTCAAGAAGCAGAGAAACTGCCTCATAGAGGTGCCAGACTGGTCTACACCAGGATCAGAGAGAAAAGAAGCTGAATCGAACCATGGATGCTGCCACACGCCTGTAACTCAGCACTCGGAAGTGAAGGCTACAAAATCTTGGGTTCCAGCTTAGTCCAAACTAACAGCCATACTCAGTTATTTATAGGTATATTTTTCTTTTTGGGTATGTGTAGCAGAAGGTAGGGTCACAGGAGAGTGGAATGTGGAATTGGTGAGAAGTCCATCTCAGGGTTCAGTGATAGCTTCTCTGTTGAAGATACAATAAACTTGTGTGTGTGTGTGTGTGTGTGTGTGTGTGTGTATGTGTGTGTGTGCTGAAGATCAAATCCATGGCCTCACACATGCTAGGCAAATGCTGTAACACCTCTACACCATCACGCCTAAACTTTCCTTTGTTTTTGAGACAGGCTTTCTCTATATAGCTTCGGCTGTCTTGGAACCTTCTATGTAGACCAGGCTGGCCTCAAACTCACGGAGATCCGCTTGCCTCTGCCTCCTGAGTGCTGGGATTAGAGGGGTGGGCCATTGCCTCCTGGCTTCTTTTTAACTTTAAAAAATATGTTTAAATATTATTTTATGTGTATGAGTGCTATGCCAGTATGTATTTATTTTCACCACATAAGTGCAGTGTCTGAGGTCAGAAGAGAGTATTGAATCACCTAAAACTGGAGTTACAGATGTTGGAGAGCCACCACGTGGGTTCTGGGAACTGAACCGGGTCCTTTGCAACACAGTAATTGCTCTTAACCTATGAACCATCTCTCCAGCCCCACTATGTTTATTTAAAAAAAAAAAAGTGTAAACATCTGTCAATACTTAGGATGTGGGAGCAGGAGGATCAGGGGTTTAAGACTAGCCTCAGGTTGGGCAGTGGTGGTGAGCGCCTTTAGTCCCAGCACTCAGGAGGCAGAGCCAAGCAGATCTGTGAGTTTGAGGCCAGCCTGGTCTACGGAGCGAGATCCAGGACAGGCACCAAAACTACACAGAGAAACCCTGTCTTACAAAACAAAACAAAAAGACTAGTCTAAGCTATATAGTGAGTTTGAGGCTAGCCTGGGCTACATGAAATCTTGTCTCAAAAAATAATTAAGGAGAGAGGTTTTTGTTTGTTTGTTTGTTTTGGCTTGTTTTTTCCCCCCCTCTGTGTAGCCCTGACTGTCCTAGAACTCTAGCTGTAGGCCAGGCTGGCCTTGAACCCACAGAGATCCACCTGCCTTTGCCTCCTGAGTGTTGGGATTAAAGGTGTGGGCCACCACCGCTTGTCAAGAGAGATTTTTAAAATGCATTAAACAGCAAAGTATTAAAGAATTAAAGTGATAATTTATTGCAATGGAATCCTCGGGGGGAGGACAAGAAAAAACTGTATTTAGAGCTAGGCATGATGGTTTATGTCTGTGATCCTAGAACTTGGGAGGCAGAAGCAAATGGATCTCTTGTGAGTTCAAGGCCAGTTTGGTCTATGAAATCTAGTTATAGGCCAGCCAGGGCTACATAGCAAGACCGTGTGTTGAGAGAGAGAGAGAGAGAGAGAGGTGGTGGCGTCGCCTTTAATCCCAGCACTCAGGAAGCAGAGGCAGGCAGATCTCTGTGAGTTCAAGGCCAGCCTGGTCTACGATGGAGTTCCAGAACAGCCAAAGCTACACAGAGAAACTCTGTAGGAAAAAAGGCTGGAGAGATGGCTCTGTGGTTAAGAGCACTGTTTGCTCTTCCAAACTGTGTAACTCCAGTCCCATGGATCCAATGCTCTCTTACAGCCTCTGTGGGCACTGCACACATATGGTGCACAGACATACACTCAGGCAAACACTCTTACACATAAAATAAAAATAAAATCTCAAAAGAAAACCCGGATGCCCTCCTTGGGACTCTAGGGGCACCACACACACGGTGTACTTGCACACGGGTAAGCACTAACACACTTAAAATGAAATAAACACATCTTTAAAAAGAATCTACGTGGTGGAGATGTATATACACCCTCGATTGCTTTTGCCACTCTCCTAACAGAAATAAATGCCCCAGGGGCAGATCTGCAGAAACAAGGATGAAGCTAGAAAACTACTTGAGATGCCACCAGGAGTCCTGGGCCCTTT